TATTTGTTGAAATTGTTCACAAAACAGCAAATATTTATTGACAGAAACCTAGGCATTTTGGGGAGGTGGTCATAATTACAAAAATGGTGAGAATTTATGCCTTTCATATGCCGATTTTTATTATGAATACTTCAAGTATTTTAACTTCTTTACTCCTTAACAATCTTTTAAGAATCTCAAAACATTGGGTCTGGTAGGAGATGCCTGTAATGCAAGCTCGTAGGAAGCAGAAGCAGGAGAATCAGAAGTTTACTGGTATCCTCAGCTACATAGTAAAGTTAAGGTTAGCCTGGGCTATATGTGACCTGTGTTGTCCCTTTCTGCCCCCCCCAACCCCCTCCCCAAATCTCCATTTTCCAGATGTGGAAACTGGCACGGAGAGGCTGTCCTCTTGGGTGAGGCCAGAATTTGAATCCAGAGAATCTGGCTCCACAGTCCATGATCCTAACCAGTGTGCTACTTTACTGCATCCACACAAGTGTTTCTATGAGGAATTGTTGATTGGAGAGAATTCTTCTAGGAAAGGCATTTGTGTTTTAGTTGTTTAAAGTCATGTAAAGGGCTAGAGAGATGACTCAGTGAGTGTTTTCTGTACAAACTTCAGGACCTGAGTTCAAATCATAGCATAGACAGATTTGTAGGCCGAACCTATAACCCCATTGCTCTTAGTGGGGTAGAGACTGAAAGATCCCTGGGGCTAACTGGGTACCAACCTACTTCTAAGTTCAGTGAGATGCGGACTTAAAGGAGCAAGGTGGAGAGTGATAGAATAGGATACCTATGTCCTCCTGGCCTCTCTGGCACACATGCACTTATCCGTACACATAGGTGCACACATACCACGTATGCATAGGACTGCTCCCACCGTCCCTCCACACCATGAAGTCATGAAAAGAATTCCAGTCCCAGATTTCTTTCTAGAAAACCATTTCTCCATTTAACTCAAGATTCATGTGAACCTTAAATTGTTAAAATGTTAAAACATTTTTTGACTTTGAAACTAATGATGATCTTTTTCAGTGTTTTTAAATTAATTTACCTGTATTTTACTTTTTTTCTGAAGTTTTTACCTAATTTGGAAATTAAGGGTGGTACATGTAAGTGATCATTGATAGAATTGAGCATACTACAGGTAAAAACATGTTATAATGATCCCCATTCTTCGGTGTGTATCATTGTAGGTTGTGATGATGTTGGCTATAGTTACTGTCTCTGAGATGCTTTTTTTTCATATAGTTTTGTTTACTCTTAAGCACAAACCTGCAACGAGTTTCCTATGTTCTGCCGATGAGGAAGCTGAGAGCAATATATAACATACTTGCCCACAGCACACAGCTTTCCAGAGGTTTGGCAAGCTCTTGTGTAAACCCAGTCTACACTGGCTCTACCAATAACAAGCAGGGATTAAGTGTCTTCCCTTCTCTTAGATGTATTCCTAGACTTAGTCTTCAACCAAACAGCAAGATGGATGTGATACATATTTTACAGCCAGGGAACCTGAGATTTAGAGGTTCCCTTGCTCAGGTCAGAGGAGGACTGGTCCTAGGCTCTCTGACTTCCCTAACAAGCTCCTGTAGCTGCTTCAGTATGCAGTGTGACTGTTCTGTGCCTGCAGACAAGATTTGCTCTAGAGTTAGAACATCGAGCAGTGTTTCATCTTGGTGTTTATGGTTTTGCCATGAAACCTGAGTCTTTAAAACTGGCTTTACATCTTTGGTAATTCTATTGATGGGGAATGGTTCTCAGATTTATTTTATTATTGAATGAATTAAATAGTTTTAATAGTAACATTTGCTTAGGATAGCTGAATTTATTTCAGCTCAACTAATTAAAAATTTTCACATTTAAAAATAAGTAGGTGTTTGTTCTCATTGCAAAAATGCCTGATGTTTGTAGTTAGAATATTTTCTAAATATCCACAGGAACAAATGTAAGCTACCCTACTCTCCCCATGCAAAGATCGCTCCCATCCTTTAGATGTGTGATTCCAGGTCTGCTTATCTTTTTAGCTTAGTATTTAATATCCTCTTTTTGCTTCATAGTATACTTATGTATAGTTGAGTATTTCTAATTTGCAAACCCATTTGCTCTGAAATCTGAAACTTTTGAGCACCTTTGTTTTGGATTTTAGATCATATGGATTTGGGAACATTATGGATTTTTAATTTCTGTATTGGAGATTCTTAGTCATTAAAGCTCAAAATGTAAAAAACTCCAAAATCAGAGATACTTTGTTCCAGTCTTTTTGGGTAAGGGATGCTCAGTCTATGTAATAGATATTTTCTTATGGGATTAAATATTCTTTTTTCACTTGCATAGATACATTTATATTCTAGGCAGTGATTTTTTTTTATTTAATTGGTTTCCTATTATTGGGCATTTATACTTTTTGGCTTTGTTTCATTTTTTGCTTCTGCTGTCCTTTGGTCACTATGAATAATGAGATTGTTTGCCTGGTAGATTTTCTTGTTTTTGTTGTTGTTTTTAAAGACAGCCTTATGTAGCACAGCCAGCCTTCTTGAGTTTGTCTTTGAACCTCTTGATTCTCCTGCCTCCTCCTCCCAGTGTCTGGGTCACAAGATGCACCACGGCACCTGGTACTGATGAGGCAGAAAGGGAAACCCATTTCTTCTGAGTTCCTAGGGGTTGAATGACTAGATTAAAGGTACTTTAAGCAAGACTACTTGCTCATCTCTGTAGACAGTTGAATTCTGGGTGCCTGGGGAATTTATTAATATTCTTGTTAATTTAGAATCACATTGTTTTTTGATTTTGTTTGTTTTTGTTTTATTTTGAGGTAGGGTCTCACTGTGTAGCTCTGGCTGTTCTGGAACTCACTATGTAGACCAGGCTGGCCTCCAGCACACAGAGAGATCCTCCTGTCTCTGTCTCCTGACTCTGAGTGTTGGTACTAAAGGTGGGCATCACCATGTCCAGCTTCATTTGTTTTCTGAAACAAGGTCTCGCTCTAAAGCCCAGGCTGGTGTAGAATTTACTGTGTAATCCAGGCTCACCTTCAGCTTGAGCTAACATTCTTGTCTGAGCTTTTAACTTGAACACTTGGGAAGCAGAGGCAGGAGAATCTCTGTGAGTCTGGGGCCAGTTAGTATGTACAATGAGATCCTGTCTATAACTTTTTGGACCTGATACAGGGAGTTTTTGATGTTTCATATGCAGATAATATGTATTTCAGTGCTTTAATAACTATGGGACTTTGATATATTTCAGTTATTCATGAATTACCTTTGGAAATG